TATTTAACAATGGGCATCAGTTTCAACTCGTTCCCTTCGCGTTTAAAGAAACCGTGTTTGTTTCGTACGCTTAATTCATTCAGTTCCTTGATGGTAGTCGGTTAATCGATGTGCGACTTATTGTGACCGGCCTCTTGGAACCGACCGTCCGTTCCATTGTTGACTTTTGCAAATGCATTCGCTGTTTTGAGTACTGATCGAAACCAACTCTGTCAGGGAGACTTGGACCGTTTTTGGCTGCTTGCAACGAATAGGATATTCAACGGCAGCAGCACGTCTATTAGTTGTGTTATTCAGTAGTTAATCGTTCGTTTACGATCAGCGTTGTTTTATCGTCTTCATTAAGAAACTTCGAGTAAGTTCGAATAAAACATGAAAAGTAACGGAGTCACTGAATTCGATTGGCTGCGTATGTTTCCTCTTGTCGAAGGAGAAAAAGTTTTTGTCGTTCGGATATCGGTTCCCTGTGTATTTACAAACATTGTAAAGACATCTTTCCTCGAACTTACGGTTCGACCTAATCCCCGCTGTGAAGCCGTGCTTTTTTCCACACTCAAAGTGCATGCCGTTGTGGCCTGTACAGCATACTGTCTTCGGTTTCCATTAACACGGAAGTATTCCCTGATCAACTCTGGCACGATTAATGACGAATTCCCTTTTCCGGATTTCCGACCGCTTATCCTTCGATTGCGAGCCATCCTACCCTGAGAAAGAGGTTTCACAGTATGGTTTAATGCGTGTTTCTCACAGTTCAAAATTACCATGCCGTAGCAGCTGCAAGAAGCAGCTGCGTTACAACATCCTTACTTCATCTCGATATACAAGTTTGCAGTACAATCAGCTTATTTAAACGCAGGAAAATTCGGCAACAAGAAAACGGTTTTGTTATATACAACGCAGTATGGTAACGTGATTGCCATTACCATCGGTTGATATACCACCATATTGCGTTTCAGTGATCAATCAACTATTATTTTTCACTGTGATGGCCAATGTAGGACCAAATATGGTCATAATATTTCTAAATGCTTCTTCATGGATTACTTTTAAGCTCGTAGTTAACATGGACAATGCGCTTGCAACTGGACATACATTTGTGCTCATCAAAGCAAACTCAGCTTCAACTCGTAATCGGATCCGCAGGTTACATTTCATCTAGTGGGTCAGTAAAGATTTTTGCATTAAGTCAAGACTTGCCAAGTCAGCATTGCAGTGCTTGGAAGATAAACGAATCATGGATGAGTGAATAAATGAAAGTTTATGGCCTGAACGGAGCACGAAAGAATCCCATCTTTCAGCCTAAGAGAACAGGCAGCATTAAATATGTGCACATCATAAAACGGAATTGTACTTGCACCCTTAGAATTAGCGGTAGGAAGAGCAGTCAACAAACGAACCGTTTGTGAAACTTGCATGTAGCCACGAAGTAAAGTTAACTGAAAAATGAACTGAAATAAAATCATGTCACACTGAGCTAATATATTTATTGCCGTATGACATCAGTAAAACGTTGAAGAACGTTCACTGAGGCTGGGATAATGAATGTTTGATATAGTCCCTTGAATCTGGTCGATGGAATTTGCAACAGACATTGCCAGAGTCTGTCATGCAGTGCGTGAGTGCTTTTATTTTATTTGTTTTTACCCATGCGAATGCCAAAAGAAACCACTCAATCAACGATATGCCTCTGTAGATCATTATGCGAATGTCCGCTTATTCTGTAGACTTGTTTTAGTGCTTTCAAGTCGCTTGTTAGGACGCCTGGAAAGATGCTTGTTAATTCCTATGTAGAACGTGGACAGACATTATGGACGACAGATATTACAGACGATATTACAGACGTTAATGGCATCTTTAGATGAACGAAAGTTTCATAGAGCTTTGCATAAAATAAGGCCTTGCAACACGTTGTAGCGGTCGGTCACGTATGCTTGCCAGATAAGGTCATACGACACCAAAGTATTTCAGTGTTAGATGTTACTTGCAGTCCTGGGCTGAGGTGTGAAGGAGAGATCCAGGAGTGTCGATTTTTTGTATATTCCAAGGAAGTCCATTGGTGGAGAAGTACTGTCACGTGGTTCTGATGCCATTTTTATCTCTGGCAACATTGTTTTCGATTTGCTCATGTAACCCTCTAACTGAAACTTTGAAGTTCGCACAGCTTATGCAGTATTTTAACTTTTGTGACATAGCGAGGAAATGGAAGTTAACAGGCTGCACCGAGTCATCAAAGTAAACTTGTAAATTAAAGACGTTCATAAACGTTCTGAAGAACATATTTGAACTTGTAGAAAAAGTCAGGATTCAAAATCTGGCGTATCAATTTTCGTGTTATATTTAATCAGTGTTGCTTTAAGTAAAAATAATGATCGGCATTCGAAAATGAATCAGAATCGATTATGCTCTTTGCTGGAAGTTTCTTTGGATATTATTAATCTTCCTCGCAGTACTTTGCACATTACAGGTGACCCCAATTTCATAAACCAATCCTCAGTTCATACTCTTGACATATGACAGATTCAGTTTTTCTTTCGTAGAAATGGTGACAAGTGCTATCAGTGTTTGACCATCCAGGTTATGAGCGAGCTATTTTCTCTCCGTTCCTTGGTATGGTCTGATTATTCCTTGTCCTTGTTCAGGATTGTTCCTCACATATGGCTTAATGGCTAAGCCAGAAAATGATTTACGATGTACACTTCGGGGTTTAATGCAGTGGAATGTGTCGTTGCTTCATTATATGTTTTTGTTGAGGGATAACTTTGTCACCTTGTCCTAGACAAATAAATATGTGCCTTAAAGGAATAGCAGTCGCTGAACTACGGTTTGCACTTGCTCCATGATTGACTGCTTCAGGATTCATTACGGTTTTTCACGGTTACCTTAGTTGCGCAGGAGTTACGATCTGTCGTATTGTGCGTTGTCATGCGATCTGTTCATTCAATCGTTGTTTCTTTTCTGTTGCACCGAACCGAACGGACTATTTTGAGCCTTGCTTTAGTCAGTCAAATTTACCGGAAGTGAAGTGAACCCTAACGAAGACGAAAAGTTTCCATAACCTGGATACAACAAAATAACAAAACCAGCTATGGAAGTGAATTCATATCAGGCGGACCAGATTCTGGTCCAGAATGATTGGTTTTCCGTCTCGGAATCAGTCACACATCAGACAGCGAATGCTAATGGTAAACCTCAGTGCGGAATCTACAGGAAAGAAAGGACATGAATCTTGTGCCTGGCCGCTTCGACAGGCAATGCTAAAACCACCGGTACAGGGTGTGAGTTGAGTCGATTGGCACAGAACAACACTGAACAGCTATTTTTTTTCAAGCATGTGGCTAGTACGTTCCCGGATCGAATCGACAACGCGATAGTCACGGAGTCGGCCAATTAGTTTCAAATGGCTCTGGATGTGAGCCAGTCCTTTTCTCCGGGGACTGTTAAAATAGACCAGTGCTGCGTAAAGAAAGATAGGCAGAACGTAGGATTTCATTAAGTTTTTCAACGCCTTTTAGCCTACGCACAATTTCCTCAATCTGCCCCACACAGAAACTGATCTTCGTACTCTGTCAAACATTTCTTTTATTTGTTGTTCTTAACCATAGCTCTCGCCCGCAATTAAACGTAATTATTTTATGACAGGGTCTTTTTCAAATAAGGCGTTGCACAACTGTGTGGTTGGTAACGCAGGTTGCGTACAGGCTCTGCTTGCAAATACTGCACGATAGAAATCACAGTCCACAAATGTCTTTGGATTAAGCGTTGTGTCGCTGTCGTTCAACCAGTCCCTCAGCTCTTGATTGGAGACAGATGAGCTCCATACTTCAGCTGTGTACTGTACTGAAACCAATACAGTAATATGGTAGTAATACAGCGTAGTTCACGCACGTGCTTGTAGCACCGGATTGAATGACGAACAGTTCCCGGGACAAACTGGATCATTGTGCGACTCATCATGTCGTCAAACGAAGCATCGATTTCTTCTTGTCCACCTAAACAAATAGATAAAAGTTTATTTAGTACAGAAGAATGGATTTATACTCTTGCATTGGTATTTCCGCTGCAACATTCTTCTAGTCAAAAATGTCAAGG